CAAGCACCATCCGCTTTCTTCACCACATTTTCTTGTGCACCCATTGTCTTCAGCGATAATGTCAGGTAGGTGAGCATCTCAGACTGCCTAATTGTTAGAATTATGTTTTTGATATCATCCCACAGCTCATTAGCTCTTCTGTCATTAATGTTCAGTGTGTCAAATCTGTTCTTGAAATTCAGGTGGGATAAACTCAGGGTCATATTTTGACTATCACTGACTTTAAATTTTTCTTCAGCTTCAACCTGCACTTAAATATGATCAATTGATGGGCTTCCACAGTTGGCCTCTGGGTTTATTTTAGCGGCTGACATTAGCTTCTCCATTGTCTCTTCCCCCAGATATAGTTGCTTTGATTTCTGTCTGTTTTATCTGGAGAAGTTCACATTTGCAATTGTCTTCTCTGTTGGTAATCATTGGTCTTATGAAATTTTATGATGCAGTCTCAGCTTCCTTTCTATCACTAAGACCATATTTTCTAACTACTGCTCTTCCTCTTTGTTTCCAACCTTTGCATTTCAGTCACCTATAATTACCAATGCATCTTGAGTGCATATTTGATTAATTTCAGACAGAAGATTTGGGTAGACTTCTTCATCAGTAGCTTTTGTGGTGGGTGCCTAAATGAGAATCATAGTTGTATTGATTGGATTTCCTTGAACGTGGATAGGTATCATCCTATCACAACAACATTGTACTTCATGACTGATTTTTCAATGTCCTTTTTGACAATGAATGCCATGCTATTCCTCTTGATGGTGTTTATCTAAGCCTAGTAAATCATATGTGGGTTTTATTATTATTATTATTATTATTCTAGATGGCCAATACCAGTCCATTTCAGCTCTCTGATGCTTAGAATATTGATCTTCATGCCTTCCATTTTATTTTTTATGACTTACAACTTTCCTAGCTTCATATCTTGCACATTACAAGTTCCCATCATTAGTAGATTTTCACAGTAACAAGTAGGAGGTATTTGAAACCACGAGTCTAGAAATCCTTGAGTATTGAGCATATAGCAAGAGTAGAAGATGGAGGACTGGGCTCATAAACATGATATTTAGAGCCTATGGAAATGGCAAGGTCTAGCAAGGAGACTGTGAAGTCTCCTCGGGAACTAAGAAAAATGCTCCATGGACCAAATGATGAACTCTTCCTAGGTGCCAATAAACAACCCACTGCATTGCTTGGGGCTACAAGATTAATTGATTGCAGGATGGAAGATGACCACTGGGATGTGCTTTATGGAGGCCATGTCACAAAATTCCATTTACACACTACCTAGTTTGGGCAAATCTTAACATTTTTGTGATTGTAGTTTCAAATTACTGAATTAAAAAATGAAGTCAGGCATGCATTATCTAATGATTCCATCCCTGATGTCATTGCTTCATTCTGAGATGTCTTCACTCTTTCTTAGACTATATAGGACTTAGCTAACTGCCTTATTCCTGACTCCTCTGATAATGTACATTCATACCACACTCCCAACAGGGCTCAGCTTATGACTGTATCACTCAGAGATGAGGGCAAGTGTCATAACACTTGTGGGTCCCTTCCTGCCTACCCAGGCAGTATTTCTTGTTGTTTGCCCAACTGCCTCTTCATCTCGATACAAGTTCTACATGAGCACAATAAAGTGTTGTGGAATTCCCATTCTTCTCAAGGTTATACATAAGTTATAGTGATTACACAGTCTGAATTACTTGGTGTAGTCAATAAAGCACAAGTAAGCATCTTTCTGGTATTCTCTGCTTTCAGCCATGAACCACCAGACATCAGCAATGATATCCCTTGTTCCACGTCTTCTTCTAAATCTGGCCTGAACCTCTTGTAGCTCCCTGTCAATGTATTGCTGCAATGGTTGTTGAATGATTTTCAGCAAATTTTTACTTGCATGTGATAAAAATGATATTGTTTTGTAATTTGTTCATTCTCCTAATACATTTCATTGAATTGTATTTATCTATTTATTTGCTTTGACTCCCCAACCTAGTTACCAACCTATTATCTGTCTGTAGATATTTCATATCTCAAGTGCTTAAAAATTTAGACCTAATATAGACCCTAATATAGAGTTACATGACCTAAGTACAATGCGGGAACTATCTATCACTTATGAGCTATATAACCTTTAAACGTTAATGAACTTTTCTGAGCCTTAAATTTCTCACCTATAAAATGGAAATGGCAATAGTATATCTCACAGGTTGTTTGTTGAGAAGATTCAACACAGAAATGCATATACAAACTTATAACAGTATCTGTCATAGAGTGAGAACTCTGTAGTGTTAGCTGCCATCATTATACTTATTGGCTAATAGTAGATAAGTAGATGGACAGATGGATGGGTGGATGAGTAATGAATGGCATGATTTTTAATATAAGTGCCTGTCACCATTCTTGATTAATCACAGCTATGTGTAAGTGTTGGCTGGGTTAAACTGAAATCTAGTGAAATGCCTCCTCTGAAAATATACCTAATTCCAGTAAGAAGCTTAATAGCTTTTAGGGTGATACATAAGTTTGATTGACATATTCTCTTTTTTATGATGGTTTTATATATATATATATATATATATACACACACACACACACACACACATATACATATAAATATACATATTTATATATATAAATCCTTTACTATATTAAGGAATTTTCCTCTTATTTCAATTTTGTTGAATGTTTTTGAGGATTGGGTACTAGAGTTGATCAAAT